GGATCTTTGTCTTTGTGTGTTCATAGGTGCTGCTACCACTAACAGCACTTGCACCTACAGCCTGTTACAGGCTACACGGGGGATCTTTGTCTTTGTGTGTTCATAGGTGCTGCTGCTACTCACAGCACTTGCCCCTACAGCCTGTTAGAGGCTACACGGGGGATCTTTGTCTTTGTGTGTTCATAGCTGCTACTGCTACTCGCATCACTTGCCCCTACAGTCTGTTAGAGGCTACACGGGGGATCTTTCTCTTCGTGTGTTCATAGCTGCTGCTGCTACTCACAGCACTTGCCCCGACAGCCTGTTACTGGCTACACGGGGGATCTTTGTCTTTGTGTGTTCATAGGTGCTGCTACCACTAACAGCACTTGCACCTACAGCCTGTTAGAGGCTACACGGGGGATCTTTGTCTTTGTGTGTTCATAGCTGCTGCTACTCACAGCACTTGCCCCTACGGCCTGTTACAGGCTACACGGGGGATCTTTGTCTTTGTGTGTTCATAGCTGCTGCTGCTACTCACAGCACTTGCACCTACAGCCTGTTAGAGGCTACACGGGGGATCTTTGTCTTTGTGTGTTCATAGCTGCTGCTGCTACTCACAGCACTTGCACCTACAGCCTGTTAGAGGCTACACGGGGGATCTTTGTCTTTGTGTGTTCATAGGTGCTGCTACCACTAACAGCACTTGCACCTACAGCCTGTTACAGGCTACACGGGGGATCTTTGTCTTTGTGTGTTCATAGGTGCTGCTACCACTAACGGCACTTGCCCCTACAGCCTGTTAGAGGCTACACGGGGGATCTTTGTCTTTGTGTGTTCATAGGTGCTGCTACCACTAACAGCACTTGCACCTACAGCCTGTTACAGGCTACACGGGGGATCTTTGTCTTTGTGTGTTCATAGCTGCTGCTGCTACTCACAGCACTTGCCCCTACAGCCTGTTAGAGGCTACACGGGGGATCTTTGTCTTTGTGTGTTCATAGGTGCTGCTACCACTAACAGCACTTGCACCTACGGCCTGTTACAGGCTACACGGGGGATCTTTCTCTTCGTGTGTTCATAGGTGCTGCTACCACTAACAGCACTTGCCCCTACGGCCTGTTACTGGCTACACGGGGGATCTTTCTCTTCGTGTGTTCATAGCTGCTGCTGCTGCTGCTACTCACAGCGCTTGCACCTACAGCCTCTTGCAGGCTACACAAGGGCGGAGGTGGGAGGGTTGCGGCTTGTGGTGGAGTGGGCCCATCGTGAGTGGCCCAGCTTCCCACCAAGCCGCTTTCTGTACTGGGCCATTGCGGCTGATCAGATGGAGGGAGGGAAGGAGGAGGGGGGAGGCCTTCAGCACCGAGCGAGCAAATTGCCTCCCGTTTGTCGCCAACATTTTCCGCTGATGTTTAAAACGCGAATATCCGTTGAGTGTGTGCGACATTATCGAGATTGATGGAATATCGCGACCCGTAATGTTTCGCCGCGAAATTGCCTCGATTTGCAAATGATAGGCGTGGGGTGGGGCGGGAGGGGTTAGGTGTTTTATTTTCTCTCCAGCACCTCCTCCTCCTTCTCCTCCTCCTCCACTCTTCCTCCCCTCCACCTCCTCCTCCACCTCCTCCTCCCCTCCTCCTCCACCTCCTCCCCTCCACCTCCCCTCCACCTCCTCCTCCCCTCCTCCTCCACCTCCTCCTCTCCACCTCCTCCTCTACCTCCTTCGCTCCACCTCCTCCTCCCCTCCTCCTCCACTCTTCCTCACCTCCTCCTCCACGCCACCTCCTCCCCTCCACCTCCTTCTCCACCTCCTCCTCCACCTCCTCCCCTCCACCTCCTCCTCCCCTCCTCCTCCACCTCCTCCTCTCCACCTCCTCCTCCACCTCCTCCCCTCCACCTCCTCCTCCACCTCCTTCTCCTCCACCTCCTCCTCCACCTCCTCCTCTCCACCTCCTCCTCCCCTCCACCTCCTCCTTCACCTCCTCCTCCCCTCCACCTCCTCCCCTCCACCTCCCCTCCACCTCCTCCCCTCCACCTCCTTCTCCTCCACTTCTTCCTCCCCTCCTCCTCCACTCTTCCTCCCCTCCGCCTCCTCCTCCCCTCCACCTCCTCCTTCACCTCCTCCTTCACCTCCTCCTCCACCTCCTCCCCTCCACCTCCTCCCCTCCACCTCCTCCACCTCCTCTCCTCCACCTCCTCCTCCACCTCCACCTCCTCCTCTCCACCTCCTCCTCCACTCCACCTCCTCCTTCACCTCCTCCTCCACCTCCTCTTCCACCTCCTCCTCTCCACCTCCTCCCCTCCACCTCCTCCTCCACCTCCCCTCCACTCCACCTCCTCCCCTCCTTCTCCCCTCCACCTCCTCCCCTCCTCCCCTCCACCTCCTCCACTCCACCTCCTCTCCTCCCCCTCCTCGTCCTTCTCGCCACCTTCTGTTTGACACCCCCCCCAGGCGGCTGCCTGTGACCATATTGTGTTGTCTCTACACCTCGACATGCACCTTATTGTTCGTCGTGTAAGGGACCCCCCCTGCCACCACTGAGTTCGCTGCTACGTAGATGTTTTTATTTCAGCTCACACCAAGTGGCGGCTCGTCATCATCATCATCACCACCGTCATCGTGATCACCACGTGCAAATGTGTGGCGTTAGCCAAATACTCTGAACCCATAGAGACCCGTAGAGCCTCATAGATACCCGTAAAGATGCATGGAGACCCATAGATATGCATAGAGACCCGTAGAGACACATAGCGACTCTCAGAGACAAGTCGAGATGAATAGAGACCCATTTAGATACACAGAGACCCATAGACTCACACGGAGACCCATAGACTCACGCAGTGACCCATAGACTCACACAGAGACCCGTAGACTCGCACAGTGACCCATAGACTCACACAGAGACACAGAGACTCACACAGAGACCCATAGACTCACACAGAGACCCATAGACTCACACGGAGACCCATAGACTCACGCAGTGACGCATAGACTCACACAAAGACCCCAAGACTCACACAGAGACCCATAGACTCACACAGAGACCCATAGACTCACACAGAGACCCATAGACTCACACAGTGACCCGTAGACTCACACAGTGACCAATAGACTCAAACAGTGACCATTAGACTCACACGGAGACCCGTAGACTCACACAGTGACCCATAGACTCACACAGTGGCCCATAGACTCACGTAGAGACCCATAGACTCACACGGAGACCCATAGACTCACACAGTGACCACAGACTCACACAGAGACCCAAAGACTCACCTAGTAGTCCACACACTCACACAAAGACCCACAGACTCACATAGTAGTCCACACACTCACACAAGGACCCACAGACTCACCTAGTAGTCCACACACTCACACAAGGACCCACAGACTCACCTAGTAGTCCACACACTCACACAAAGACCCACAGACTCACCTAGTAGTCCACACACTCACACAAGGACCCACAGACTCACCTAGTAGTCCACACACTCACACAAGGACCCACAGACTCACCTAGTAGTCCACACACTCACACAAGGACCCACAGACTCACCTAGTAGTCCACACACTCACACAAGGACCCACAGACTCACCTAGTAGTCCACACACTCACACAAGGACCCACAGACCCACATAGTACTCCACACACTCACACAAGGACCCACAGACCCACATAGTAGTCCACACACTCACACAAGGACCCACAGACTCACCTAGTAGCCCACACACTCACACAAGGACCCACAGACTCACATAGTAGTCCACACACTCACACAAGGACCCACAGACTCACCTAGTAGTCCACACACTCACAGAAGGACCCACAGACTCACCTAGTAGTCCACACACTCACACAAGGACCCACAGACTCACCTAGTAGTCCACACACTCACACAAGGACCCACAGACTCACCTAGTAGTCCACACACTCACACAAGGACCCACAGACTCACCTAGTAGTCCACACACTCACACAAGGACCCACAGACTCACCTAGTAGCCCACACACTCACACAAGGACCCACAGACTCACCTAGTAGTCCACACACTCACACAAGGACCCACAGACTCACCTAGTAGTCCACACACTCACACAAGGACCCACAGACTCACATAGTAGTCCACACACTCACACAAGGACCCACAGACTCACCTAGTAGTCCACACACTCACACAAGGACCCACAGACTCACCTAGTAGCCCACACACTCACACAAGGACCCACAGACTCACCTAGTAGTCCACACACTCACACAAGGACCCACAGACTCACATAGTAGCCCACACACTCACACAAGGACCCACAGACCCACCTAGTAGTCCACACACTCACACAAGGACCCACAGACTCACCTAGTAGTCCACACACTCAGACAAGGACCCACAGACTCACCTAGTAGCCCACACACTCACACAAGGACCCACAGACTCACCTAGTAGTCCACACACTCACACAAGGACCCACAGACTCACCTAGTAGCCCACACACTCACACAAGGACCCACAGACTCACCTAGTAGTCCACACACTCACACAAGGACCCACAGACTCACCTAGTAGTCCACACACTCACACAAGGACCCACAGACCCACATAGTAGTCCACACACTCACACAAGGACCCACAGACTCACCTAGTAGTCCACACACTCACACAAGGACCCACAGACTCACCTAGTAGTCCACACACTCACACAAGGACCCACAGACTCACCTAGTAGTCCACACACTCACACAAGGACCCACAGACTCACCTAGTAGTCCACACACTCAGACAAGGACCCACAGACTCACATAGTAGCCCACACACTCACACAAGGACCCACAGACTCACCTAGTAGTCCACACACTCACAAAAGGACCCACAGACTCAACGCAGATTGAACACTAATTTCTTTCGAATTGATGCTTGCCTTTAGTTTGCTGTCCTTCCCCTGCACCTCCTCATTCTCACCCCCCCCCCCCCCCCACCTCCTCCGCCCCCCCGTCCCCCCCCCCCCCGCGCCCACCATCAGAATCGGAGGAAATCCGCAAGATCCGTTTGGCCATCGACGCGGGGATGGCTCAGAACGCTGCCCAGCTGCAGGCCTACCTCAAGACGTGGGTGGCCTACCGCGAGATCTGGGAGATCAACAAGGACGCCTTCATCCGCCGCTACCAGCGCCAGAACCCGCCCGTGTCCTCCTTCGACGGGGACATCGGGAGGTAACGGAGCGGGCGGCCTGAGATGGCGGACGTGGACTGCCTCGGCCTGGTGTACAGGAGGTCGTGGGTTCGATCCCGACCCTTACACCGCCTTCTGTATATTTGGAGTTTGCGTGTCTCTCTCATCATTATCACGGTGGCTAGGAGATGTTAACTACCTCGGCTGGTGTACAGGAGGTCGTGGGTTAGATCCCGACCCTTACACCGCCTTCTGTATATTTGGAGTTTGCGTGTCTCTCATCGTCATCATCATCACGGTGGCTAGGAGATGTTAACTACCTCGCCTGGTGTACAGGAGGTCGTGGGTTAGATCCCGACCCTTACACCGCCTTCTGTATATTTGGAGTTTGCGTGTCACTCTCATCATCATTATCACGGTGGCTCGGAGATGTTAACTACCTCGGGTGGTGTACAGGAGGTCGTGGGTTAGATCCCGACCCTTACACCGCCTTCTGTATATTTGGAGTTTGCGTGTCTCTCATCGTCATCATCATCACGGTGGCTAGGAGATGTTAACTACCTCGCCTGGTGTACAGGAGGTCGTGGGTTCGATCCCGACCCTTACACCGCCTTCTGTATATTTGGAGTTTGCGTGTCTCTCTCATCATCATCATCATCACGGTGGCTAGGAGATGTTAACTACCTCGCCTGGTGTACAGGAGGTCGTGGGTTCGATCCCGACCCTTACACCGCCTTCTGTATATTTGGAGTTTGCGTGTCTCTCTCATCATCATTATCACGGTGGCTCGGAGATGTTAACTACCTCGCCTGGTGTACAGGAGGTCGTGGGTTCGATCCCGACCCTTACACCGCCTTCTGTATATTTGGAGTTTGCGTGTCTCTCTCATCATCATTATCACGGTGGCTAGGAGATGTTAACTAACTCGCCTGGTGTACAGGAGGTCGTGGGTTCCATCCCGACCCTTACACCGCCTTCTGTATATTTGGAGTCTGCGTGTCTCTCTCATCATCATTATCACGGTGGCTAGGAGATGTTGACTACCTCGCCTGGTGTACAGGAGGTCGTGGGTTCGATCCCGACCTTGACCGCTGTATAGGGTGCGGTGGTGTAGCGGTTAGCGCTACACTGCACTACGAGCTTGGCAACCCGGGTTCGATTCCGGCTCACGGCCAACACCAGGGACGATTTTTCTGGACCGGTTCCGGGGCCCTCTCCTAGGTCGAGTCAGCCTCAAATGAGTGCCTGGTGCCAGATTCCCCCTCGCAAAAAGAGCCTTTCAATCTCAAGGGATTTTTTTTTTACTTGGATGAATAAAGGTGAAAGAAGACAAATTAAAAACATGGGGGAGACAAAGGCGGCCGGGCGTGGCGTTGGCCACCCACCCCCCCCTCGTGTGCCACGGTGCCGGCGTTCATAGGTGCTAGCAAACAGCACTTGCCCCTACAGCCTGTTGCAGGCTACACGGGGGATCTTTGTCTTTGTAAGATTGCGGTGAGCGTTCGTGGTCGTAGCGGTTAGTGCTACGCTGCCCTACGAACCCCTGACGATGACACCGAGTTCGATTCCAGCTCACGGCCACCAACACCGGTGACGATTATCTGAACCAGTCCTGGTGCCTCCAATCGGTTTACTCAACCCCAAATGAGTCCCTGGTGCGGTCTGTGGAGTCAACGCCGCCGCTGGGGTGAGTGAGTGAGCGAGTGGAGTTTGTGTGATCTCCCCCTGTTCTACAGAGTGTGAGTGAGTGAGTGGCGTTTGTATGATCTCCCCCTGTTCTTTAGAATGCGTGAGTGGAGTTTGTGTGATCTCCCCCTGTTCTACAGAGTGTGAGTGAGTGGAGTTTGTGTGATCTCACCCTGATCTACAGAGTGAGTGGAGTTTGTGTGATCTCCCCCTGTTCCACAGAGTGAGTGGAGTTTGTGTGATTTCACCCTGTTCTTCAGAGTGAGTGAGTGGAGTTTGTATGATCTCCCCCTGTTCTACAGAGTGTGAGTGAGTGGAGTTTGTGTAATCCCACCCTGTTCTACAGAGTGAGTGAGGGGAGTTTGTATGATCTCCCCCTGTTCTTCAGAGTGAGTGAGGGGAGTTTGTATGATCTCCCCCTGTTCTACAGAGTGTGAGTGAGTGGAGTTTGTGTAATCCCACCCTGTTCTACAGAGTGAGTGAGTGGAGTTTGTATGATCTCCCCCTGTTCTACAGAGTGAGTGAGTGGAGTTTGTGTGATCTCCCCCTGTTCTACAGAGTGTGAGTGAGTGGAGTTTGTGTAATCCCACCCTGTTCTACAGAGTGAGTGAGTGGAGTTTGTATGATCTCCCCCTGTTCTTCAGAGTGAGTGAGTGGAGTTTGTGTAATCCCACCCTGTTCTACAGAGTGAGTGAGTGGAGTTTGTACGATCTCCCCCTGTTCTACAAAGTGAGTGAGTGACGTTTGTATGATCTCCCCCTGTTCTACAGAGTGAGTAGAGTTTGTGTGATCTCCCCCTGTTCTACAGAGTGAGTGAGTGGCGTTTGTATGATCTCCCCCTGTTATACAGAGTGAGTGAGTGGAGTTTGTATGATCTCCCCCTGTTCTACAGAGTGAATGAGTGGAGTTTGTGTGATCTCCCCCTGTTCTACAGAGTGTGAGTGAGTGGAGTTTGTGTAATCCCACCCTGTTCTACAGAGTGAGTGAGTGGAGTTTGTATGATCTCCCCCTGTTCTTCAGAGTGAGTGAGTGGAGTTTGTGTGATCTCCCCCTGTTCTACAGAGTGAGTGGAGTTTGTGTAATCCCACCCTGTTCTACAGAGTGATTGAGTGGAGTTTGTGTAATCCCACCCTGTTCTACAGAGTGAGTGAGTGGAGTTTGTGCAATCCCACCCTGTTCTACAGAGTGAATGAGTGGAGTTTGTGTAATCCCACCCTGTTCTACAGAGTGAGTAGAGTTTGTACGATCTCCCCCTGTTCTACAGAGTGTGAGTGAGTGGAGTTTGTGTAATCCCACCCTGTTCTACAGAGTGAGTGAGTGGAGTTTGTGTGATCTCCCCCTGTTCTACAGAGTGTGAGTGAGTGGAGTTTGTGTAATCCCACCCTGTTCTACAGAGTGAGTGAGTGGAGTTTGTATGATCTCCCCCTGTTCTTCAGAGTGAGTGAGTGGAGTTTGTGTAATCCCACCCTGTTCTACAGAGTGAGTGAGTGGAGTTTGTACGATCTCCCCCTGTTCTACAGAGTGTGAGTGAGTGGAGTTTGTATGATCTCCCCCTGTTCCACAGAGTGAGTGAGTGAGTGGAGTTTGTATGATCTCCCCCTGTTCTACAGAGTGTGAGTGAGTGGAGTTTGTGTTATCCCACCCTGTTCTACAGAGTGAGTGAGTGGAGTTTGTATGATCTCCCCCTGTTCCACAGAGTGAGTGGAGTTTGTATGATCTCCCCCTGTTCTACAGAGTGTGAGTGAGTGGAGTTTGTGTAATCCCACCCTGTTCTACCGAGTGAGTGAGTGGAGTTTGTATGATCTCCCCCTGTTCTACAGAGTGAGTGAGTGGAGTTTGTATGATCTCTCCCTGTTCTACAGAGTGAGTGGAGTTTGTACGATCTCCTCCTGTTCTACAGAGTGAGTGGAGTTTGTACGATCTCCCCCTGTTCTACAGAGTGAGTGGAGTTTGTACGATCTCCCCCTGTTCCACACAGTGAGTGGAGTTTGTACGATCTCCCCCTGTTCCACACAGTGAGTGGAGTTTGTACGATCTCCCCCTGTTCTACAGAGTGAGTGGAGTTTATACGATCTCCCCCTGTTCTTTGGAATGAGTGAGTGGAGTTTGTACGATCTCCCCCTGTTCCACACAGTGAGTGGAGTTTGTACGATCTCCCCCTGTTCTTTGGAATGAGTGAGTGGAGTTTGTACGATCTCCCCCTGTTCCACACAGTGAGTGGAGTTTGTGTAATCCCACCCTGTTCTACAGAGTGACAGTGAGTGGAGTTTGTACGATCTCCCCCTGTTCTACAGAGTGAGTGAGTGGAGTTTGTATGATCTCCCCCTGTTCTACAGAGTGTGAAGTGAGTGGAGTTTGTGTAATCCCACCCTGTTCTACAGAGTGAGTGAGTGGAGTTTGTACGATCTCCCCCTGTTCTACAGAGTGAGTGAGTGGATTTTGTATGATCTCCCCCTGTTCTACAGAGTGAATGAGTGGAGTTTGTACGATCTCCCCCTGTTCCACACAGTGAGTGGAGTTTGTACGATCTCCCCCTGTTCTTTAGAATGCGTGAGTGGAGTTTGTACGATCTCCCCCTGTTCCACAGAGTGAGTGGAGTTTGTACGATCTCCCCCTGTTCCACACAGTGAGTGGAGTTTGTACGATCTCCCCCTGTTCCACACAGTGAGTGGAGTTTGTACGATCTCCCCCTGTTCTTTGGAATGAGTGAGTGGAGTTTGTACGATCTCCCCCTGTTCCACACAGTGAGTTGAGTTTGTACGATCTCCCCCTGTTCTTTAGAATGAGTGAGTGGAGTTTGTACGATCTCCCCCTGTTCCACACAGTGAGTGGAGTTTGTACGATCTCCCCCTGTTCTTTGGAATGAGTGAGTGGAGTTTGTACGATCTCCCCCTGTTCCACACAGTGAGTGGAGTTTGTACGATCTCCCCCTGTTCTTTAGAATGAGTGAGTGGAGTTTGTACGATCTCCCCCTGTTCCACACAGTGAGTGGAGTTTGTACGATCTCCCCCTGTTCTTTGGAATGAGTGAGTGGAGTTTGTACGATCTCCCCCTGTTCCACACAGTGAGTGGAGTTTGTACGATCTCCCCCTGTTCTTTGGAATGAGTGAGTGGAGTTTGTACGATCTCCCCCTGTTCCACACAGTGAGTGGAGTTTGTACGATCTCCCCCTGTTCTTTAGAATGCGTGAGTGGAGTTTGTACGATCTCCCCCTGTTCCACAGAGTGAGTGGAGTTTGTACGATCTCCCCCTGTTCCACACAGTGAGTGGAGTTTGTACGATCTCCCCCTGTTCCACACAGTGAGTGGAGTTTGTACGATCTCCCCCTGTTCTTTGGAATGAGTGAGTGGAGTTTGTACGATCTCCCCCTGTTCCACACAGTGAGTGGAGTTTGTACGATCTCCCCCTGTTCTTTAGAATGAGTGAGTGGAGTTTGTACGATCTCCCCCTGTTCCACACAGTGAGTGGAGTTTGTACGATCTCCCCCTGTTCTTTAGAATGAGTGAGTGGAGTTTGTACGATCTCCCCCTGTTCCACACAGTGAGTGGAGTTTGTACGATCTCCCCCTGTTCTTTGGAATGAGTGAGTGGAGTTTGTACGATCTCCCCCTGTTCCACACAGTGAGTGGAGTTTGTACGATCTCCCCCTGTTCTTTGGAATGAGTGAGTGGAGTTTGTATGATCTCCCCCTGTTCTACAGAGTGTGAGTGAGTGGAGTTTGTACGATCTCCCCCTGTTCCACACAGTGAGTGGAGTTTGTACGATCTCCCCCTGTTCCACACAGTGAGTGGAGTTTGTATGATCTCCCCCTGTTCCACACAGTGAGTGGAGTTTGTACGATCTCCCCCTGTTCCACACAGTGAGTGGAGTTTGTACGATCTCCCCCTGTTCCACACAGTGAGTGAGTGGAGTTTGTATGATCTCCCTCTGTTCTACAGAGTGAGTGAGTGGAGTTTGTATGATCTCCCCCTGTTCTACAGAGTGAGTGAGTGAGTGGAGTTTGTATGATCTCCCCCTGTTCTACAGAGTGAGTGAGTGAGTGGAGTTTGTATGATCTCCCCCTGTTCCACACAGTGAGTGGAGTTTGTATGATCTCCCCCTGTTCCACAGAGTGAGTGGCGTTTGTATGATCTCCCTCTGTTCTACAGAGTGAGTGAGTGGAGTTTGTATGATCTCCCCCTGTTCTACAGAGTGAGTGAGTGAGTGGAGTTTGTATGATCTCCCCCTGTTCTACAGAGTGAGTGAGTGAGTGGAGTTTGTATGATCTCCCCCTGTTCCACACAGTGAGTGGAGTTTGTATGATCTCCCCCTGTTCCACAGAGTGAGTGGCGTTTGTATGATCTCCCTCTGTTCTACAGAGTGAGTGAGTGGAGTTTGTATGATCTCCCCCTGTTCTACAGAGTGAGTGAGTGAGTGGAGTTTGTATGATCTCCCCCTGTTCTACAGAGTGAGTGAGTGAGTGGAGTTTGTATGATCTCCCCCTGTTCCACACAGTGAGTGGAGTTTGTATGATCTCCCCCTGTTCCACAGAGTGAGTGGCGTTTGTATGATCTCCCTCTGTTCTACAGAGTGAGTGAGTGGAGTTTGTATGATCTCCCCCTGTTCTACAGAGTGAGTGAGTGAGTGGAGTTTGTATGATCTCCCCCTGTTCTACAGAGTGAGTGAGTGAGTGGAGTTTGTATGATCTCCCCCTGTTCCACAGAGTGAGTGGAGTTTGTATGATCTCCCCCTGTTCTTTAGAATGAGTGAGTGGAGTTTGTACGATCTCCCCCTGTTCCACAGAGTGAGTGGAGTTTGTACGATCTCCCCCTGTTCTTTAGAATGCGTGAGTGGAGTTTGTACGATCTCCCCCTGTTCCACAGAGTGAGTGGAGTTTGTACGATCTCCCCCTGTTCTTTAGAATGCGTGAGTGGAGTTTGTACGATCTCCCCCTGTTCCACAGAGTGAGTGGAGTTTGTATGATCTCCCCCTGTTCTTTAGAATGCGTGAGTGGAGTTTGTACGATCTCCCCCTCTTCCACACAGTGAGTGGAGTTTGTACGATCTCCCCCTGTTCCACAGAGTGAGTGGAGTTTGTACGATCTCCCCCTGTTCTTTAGAATGCGTGAGTGGAGTTTGTACGATCTCCCCCTGTTCCACAGAGTGAGTGGAGTTTGTATGATCTCCCCCTGTTCTTTAGAATGCGTGAGTGGAGTTTGTGTGATCTCCCCCTGTTCCACAGAGTGAGTGGAGTTTGTACGATCTCCCCCTGTTCTTTGGAATGAGTGAGTGGAGTTTGTGTGATTTCACCCTGTTCTTCAGAGTGAGTGAGTGGAGTTTGTATGATCTCCCCCTGTTCTACAGAGTGTGAGTGAGTGGAGTTTGTGTAATCCCACCCTGTTCTACAGAGTGAGTGAGGGGAGTTTGTATGATCTCCCCCTGTTCTTCAGAGTGAGTGAGGGGAGTTTGTATGATCTCCCCCTGTTCTACAGAGTGTGAGTGAGTGGAGTTTGTGTAATCCCACCCTGTTCTACAGAGTGACAGTGAGTGGAGTTTGTACGATCTCCCCCTGTTCCACACAGTGAGCTTGACCGTGACATCCGTCTCGTGCCTCGGCGTGCGCGCGTCCACCCCACCCCACCCCGCACACCGCCAGGTACGCGGAGGTCGCCAACAACGTGCAGAAGGAGGAGACGGTGCTGAGCGTGCAGTTCGTGCTCCTCGACTGCTCCCCGCTGAAGCTTTCGCTGCTCCGGCACTGCAGCGAGTGGCAGGCGAAACTCACGTCCCTGCTCGCGGACATGGCCGGCGGGCAGCTGCGCGACCTCCACGCCTACCTGAGCGACAACGGAGAGAGGTGACACGAGAGGGAGAGAGAGAGGGAGAGAGAGGGAGAGAGAGGGAGGGCGGCGTCAGCGGAGCGTCGCCCAGCGACGTGCGACACGCCGAGGGTGGTGCTGGGTGGCCGGCAAAAAACCTCGCCCGGCCGCGTTCGTCTGCCCCCCCCCCCCCCCCCCCCCCCCCCCCCCCCCCCCCCGTGGCGACGTTTGGCACGGGCGCCAGTACCGGAGGCCCGGTGACCAGTTGTGATCATTATCGTCACCAGAGGAGATCATTCAAACGCCACTCAGTCACTCTGTAGAACAGGGGGAGATCATACAAACTCCACTCACTCTGTAGAACAGGGGGAGATCATACAAACTCCACTCACTCTGTAGAACAGAGGGAGATCATACAAACTCCACTCACTCACTCTGTAGAACAGGGGGAGATCACACAAACTCCACTCACTCACTCTGTAGAACAGGGGGAGATCATACAAACTCCACTCACTCACTCTGTAGAACAGGGGGAGATCATACAAACTCCACTCACTCTGTGGAACAGGGGGAGATCATACAAACTCCACTCACTCACTCTGTAGAACAGGGGGAGATCATACAAACTCCACTCACTCACTCTGTAGAACAGGGGGAGATCATACAAACGCCACTCACTCACACTCTGTAGAACAGGGGGAGATCATTCAAACTCCACTCACTCACTCTGTACAACAGGGTGGGATTACACAAACTCCACTCACTCACTCTGTAGAACAGGGGGAGATCACACAAACTCCACTCATTCACTCTGTAGAACAGAGGGAGATCATACAAACTCCACTCACTCTGTAGAACAGGGGGAGATCATACAAACTCCACTCACTCACTCTGTAGAACAGGGGGAGATCATACAAACTCCACTCACTCACTCTGTAGAACAGGGGGGGATCATACAAACTCCACTCACTCACTCTGTAGAACAGGGGGGAGATCACACAAACTCCACTCATTCACTCTGTAGAACAGGGGGAGATCATACAAACTCCACTCACTCACTCTGTAGAACAGGGGGAGATCACACAAACTCCACTCACTCACTCTGTAGAACAGGGGGAGATCATACAAACTCCACTCACTCACTCTGTAGAACAGGGGGAGATCATACAAACTCCACTCACTCACTCTGTAGAACAGGGGGGGATCATACAAACTCCACTCACTCACTCTGTAGAACAGGGGGAGATCATACAAACTCCACTCACTCTGTGGAACAGGGGGAGATCATACAAACTCCACTCACTCTGTGGAACAGGGGGAGATCATACAAACTCCACTCACTCTGTGGAACAGGGGGAGATCATACAAACTCCACTCACTCTGTGGAACAGGGGGAGATCATAAAACTCACTGACACTCTGTAAAACAGGGGGAGATCATACAAACTCCACTCACTCACTCTGTAGAACAGAGGGAGATCATACAAACTCCACTCACTCTGTGGAACAGGGGGAGATCATACAAACTCCACTCACTCTGTGGAACAGAGGGAGATCATACAAACTCCACTCACTCTGTGGAACAGGGGGAGATCACACAAACTTCACTCACTCACACTCTGTAGAACAGGGGGAGATCATACAAACTCCACTCATTCACTCTGTAGAACAGGGGGAGATCATACAAACTCCACTCACTCACTCTGTAGAACAGGGGGAGATCATACAAACTCCACTCACTCACTCTGTAGAACAGGGGGAGATCATACAAACTCCACTCATTCACTCTGTAGAACAGGGGGAGATCACACAAACTCCACTCACTCACTCTGTAGAACAGGGGGAGATCACACAAACTCCACTCATTCACTCTGTAGAACAGGGGGAGATCATACAAACGCCACTCACTCACTCTGTAGAACAGGGGGAGATCATACAAACTCCACTCACTCACTCTGTAGAACAGGGTGGGATTACACAAACTCCACTCACTCACTCTGTAGAACAGGGGGAGATCACACAAACTCCACTCATTCACTCTGTAGAACAGGGGGAGATCATACAAACTCCACTCACTCACTCTGTAGAACAGGGGGAGATCATACAAACTCCACTCATTCACTCTGTAGAACAGGGGGAGATCATACAAACTCCACTCACTCACTCTGTAGAACAGGGGGAGATCATACAAACTCCACCCACTCACTCTGTAGAACAGGGGGAGATCATACAAACTCCACTCATTCACTCTGTAGAACAGGGGGAGATCATACAAACTCCACTCACTCACTCTGTAGAACAGGGGGAGATCACACAAACTCCACTCACTCACTCTGTAGAACAGGGGGAGATCACACAAACACCACTCATTCACTCTGTAGAACAGGGGGAGATCATACAAACTCCACTCACTCACTCTGTAGAACAGGGGGAGATCATACAAACTCCACTCACTCTGTGGAACAGGGTGAGATCATACAAACTCCACTCACTCACTCTGTAGAACAGGGGGAGATCATACAAACTCCACTCACTCACTCTGTAGAACATGGGGAGATCACACAAACTCCACTCACTCACTCTGTAGAACAGGGGGAGATCACACAAACACCACTCATTCACTCTGTAGAACAGGGGGAGATCATACAAACTCCACTCACTCACTCTGTAGAACAGGGGGAGATCATACAAACTCCACTCACTCACTCTGTAGAACAGGGGGAGATCACACAAACTTAACTCACTCACTCTGTAGAACAGGGGGAGATCACACAAACTTCACTCACTCTGTAAAACAGGGGGAGATCATACAAACTCCACTCACTCACTCTGTAGAACAGGGGGAGATCATACAAACTCCACTCACTCTGTGGAACAGGGGGAGATCACACAAACTCCACTCATTCACTTTGTAGAACAGGGGAAGATCACACAAACTCCACTCACTCACACTCTGTAGAACAGGGGGAGATCACACAAACTCCACTCACTCTGTGGAACAGGGGGAGATCATACAAACCCCACTCACTCTGTGGAACAGGGGGAGATCATACAAACTCCACTCACTCTGTGGAACAGGGGGAGATCACACAAACTTCACTCACTCACTCTGTAGAACAGGGTGAGATCATGGTGGTATCGCTGTGGCTGAGTGGTGGTGGTATCACTACGGCTGAGTGGTGGTGGTATCGCTACGGCTGAGTGGTGGTATCACTACGGATGAGTGGTGGTGGTATCGCTACGGATGAGTGGTGGTGGTATCGCTACGGCTGAGTGGTGGTGCTATCGCTACGGCTGAGTGGTGGTGCTATCGCTACGGCTGAGTGGTGGTGCTATCGCTACGGCTGAGTGGTGGTGGTGGTGGTGGTACCGCTAATGCGCGGTCATGTTTCCTGGCCGCGGCATCGGCGGCGGTAAACAAAAAATGAAAATCGCACGGCGTGAAACGAAAACCCACACGCACAGAGAGAGGCGGAGAGCGTGAATGCGAGCGAGGGCGAGAGCGAGCGAGCGAGCGAAATAAGAATAATAAATACGTTTGCCTTGTCATAATTCCACGTGAATGCCGGATCCCCTGCGGGGCAGAGACAGACGGAGAGAGAGCGAGAGGTCACAGTTGCGGAGTAAAAACCAAAACCAAAACCGGTGAAATAAAAATGAATCATTATCTGGGGAGCGTCGCCGTCAGCGGCGGCGGTGCCGTCGACGGCGCCTGTGTCCAGGTCCACGCGGAGTCGCTTATTATTTTATTGTGGCCAGCGGACGAGGGGGGAGGCTTTTTGTCGTCAGCCGACAACACCGCGGATTGCCCCCCCGGGAGGAGATCACGGCTCTTCGCTGCCAAGCTCCGACGTCAATCACCGTGGGGGGTGGGGTGGGGTGGGGTGGGGTGCCGCGCAGTGGGGTTATTTTCCAGGGCGGCCGTCGGGTAGATATCTCGCTCTCGCTCTCACTCGCTCTCTCGTTCTCATCCTCTCTCGCTCACCCTGTCTAGCTCTCTCTCGCTCTCTCTCGCTCACCCTCTCTAGCTCTCTCTCACTCACTCGCTCTCGCTCTTTCTCTCTCTCTCACCCTCTCTCGTTCTCACCCTCTCTCGCTCACCCTCTCTAGCTCTCTCTCACTCACTCGCTCTCTCTCTCACCCTCTCTCTCTCCCTCTCGCTCTCTCTCTCGCTCTCTCTCTCTCTCACCATATCTCGCTCTCGCGCTCTCACTCTCTCCCTCTCTCGCTCTCTCTCGCTCTCTCTCTCACCATATCTCGCTCTCGCGCTCTCACTCTCTCCCTCTCGCTCTCTCTCTCTCTCGCTCTCTCTCTCACCATATCTCGCTCTCGCTCTCTCACTCTCTCTCTCATCCTCTCTCGCTCACCCTCTCTAGCTCTCTCTCGCTCTCTCTCTCGCTCTGTCTCTCTCTCACCCTCTCTCGTTCTCATCCTCTCTCGCTCTCTCTCACTCACTCGCTCTCGCTTTTTCTCTCTCTCTCACCCTCTCTCTCGCTCTCTCGCTCTCATTCTCTCTCTCTCTCTCACCATACCTCGCTCTCTCACTCTCTCTCTCTCACCCTCTCTCGCTCACCCTCTATAGCTCTCTCTCACCTACTCGCTCTTTCTCTCTCTCTCTCCCTCTCTCGTTCTCATCCTCTCTCGCTCTCTCTCACTCACTCGCTCTCGCTTTTTCTCTCTCTCTCACCCTCTCTCTCGCTCTCTCGCTCTCATTCGCTCTCTCTCTCACCATACCTCGCTCTCTCACTCTCTCTCTCTCACCCTCTCTCGCTCACCCTCTATAGCTCTCTCTCACCTACTCGCTCTTTCTCTCTCTCTCTCTCCCTCTCTCGTTCTCATCCTCTCTCGCTCACCCTCTCTAGCTCTCTCTCACTCACTCGCTCTCGCTCTTTCTCTCTCTCACCCTCTCTTTTTTATTTTTTTACGATCAGATGAAACGAGAAGATGCTCGGTGTAGTCGACACTTTGCTCCGTTCATCATTTTTTTGTTTTTGTTTTTGTTAATGCTTTGCTTTATGTAACCCCCCCCCCCCCCCCCTTTTAAATGAAAGACCCAACAAAATATTTATTTTTCCTTTTTCTGCTCTCCTTACTCCTTCCCTCTCTCTCTACCCCCCTCTCTGCCCCCCTCTCTCTCTCTCTACCCCCCTCTCTTCCTACTCCATTTTGCTCTCTCTCGCTCGCTCTCTTTATTCTTTATAACTACGACAAGTGCTGCATCTGCACGCAGCCCTTCCCACAGTCCTACGGCCTCCGACGGGTAGCTCACAATCTGCACGCACAGAGCTCTCTACCGTCATCTGCCACCGAGCACACGGCCCTCCTCCAGCGCCCACTGCTCCTTGAAGGCCGGCACGGCGTGGGTCAGCCACGCACGGCGGAACTCCGGCCACACCCTGGCTCCGACCAGAGCGCGGAAGATGCCCAGGCTGCTGGCCGGACGTTTCCCCTCCAGGGCCACCTTCCTCGCCCTGTACACGGCGAGGCTTTGGCGTGGCCGAAGAGCACGTTGACCGGCCCCTGAAGATGTTGGGGTCCGTCGCCCTTCGGGTATCCAAAGATGAGGACCGTTGGGGAGAAGTGGAGGCTGAACCTTAGGAGGATGTTTCTCAGGCCTCTCTCACTCTCTCACTCTCTCTCTCTCGCTCACCCTGTCTAGCTCTCTGTCACTCTCTCTCGCTCTCTCGCTCTCACCCTCTCTCACTCTCTCTCACTCTCTCTCACTCGCTCTCACTCTCTCTCACCATATCTCTCTCTCTCTCTACCCCTCACACCCTCTCTCACTCTCTCGCTCTCTCTCGCTCACCCTCTCTCGCTCTCAGTCTCTCGCTCTCTCTCACTCACCCTCTCTAGCTCTCTCTCACTCACTCGCTCTCTCTCGCTCTCTCCCTCTCACCCTCTCTCACTCTCTCGCTCTCTCTCGCTCACCCTCTCTCGCTCTCTCTCTCTCGCACTCTCTCTCTCACTCACCCTCTCTCCCTCTCTCACTCTCTCGCTCTCTCTCGCTCACCCTCTCTCGCTCTCACTCTCTCTCACTCACCCTCTCTCGCTCTCTCCCTCTCTCTCTCACTCGCTCACTCTCACTCTCTCGCTCTCTCTCGCTCACTCTCTCTCTTGCACTCTCTCTCACTCGCTCTCACTCTCTCTCATTCTCTCTCACCATATCTCTCTCGCTCTCTCTCGCTCACCCTCTGTCGCTCTCACTCTCTCTCACTCACCCTCTCTCGCTCTCTCCCTCTCTCTCTCACTCGCTCACTCTCTCGCTCTCTCTCGCTCACTCTCTCTCTCTTGCACTCTCTATCGCTCTCACTCTCTCTCACTCAACCTCTCTCGGTCTCTCTCTCTCTCTCGCTCGCTCTCTCTCTCACTCTCTCTCGCTCACTCTCACGCTCTCTGTCACTCTCTCACTCTCTCACTCTCGCTCTCTCACTCTCCACGATTGCGTCGTCACGATTACTGAAGGGCAAGCGTTGCCTGTCTGTCGCTAATGATAGCTCAACCAAGTGGCTCAGCGTCAGCGTCATCATCACGTGCACATTTGTTATCTCCCTCGCCCTGCTATGCAGGAGGTTCGTGGGTTCGATCCCTGACCCTGACGACGCCTGCTGTGTATTTGTAGTCTGCGTCTCTCTCTCTCTCTCACCATCATCACCAGGGTGGCTCGGAGATGTTGACTACCTCGTCTGGCACACAGGAGGTCGTGGGTTCGATCCCAATCCTGACCGCCTGCTGTATATTTGGAGTTTGCGTGTCTCTCTCATCATCATCACGGTGTCTAGGAGATGTTGACTACCTCATCTGGCATACAGACTTTTGCAGTCGCCTGTGGCGGGGGGTCGCGTGTTTACACTGCCCCGCGTGTGTGTGATGTGTGTGTGGTGTGTGTGATGTGTGGTGTGTGGTGTGTGATGTGTGTGATGTGTGTGTGTGGAGTGTGTGGTGTGTGATGTTTGTGTGGAGTTTGTGGTGTGTGTGGTGTGTGTGGTGTGTGTATGTGTGTTGTGTGATATGTGTGTGTGGAGTGTGTGGTGTGTGATGTTTGTGTGGTGTGTGTGATGTGTGTGTGTGTGGTGTGTGATGTGTGTGATGTGTGGTGTGTGTGTGGTGTGTGTATGTGTGATGTGTGTGTGTGGTGTGTGTGTGTGTGGAGTGTGTGGTGTGTGATGTTTGTGTGGAGTGTGTGGTGTGTGGTGTGTGTGTGGTGTGTGTATGTGTGTTGTGTGTGTGTGGTGTATGTATGTGTGATGTGTGTGTGTGGAGTGTGTGGTGTGTGTGTATGTGTGTTGTGTGATGTGTGTGTGGAGTGTGTGGTGTGTGTGGTGTGTGTATGTGTGTTGTGTGATATGTGTGTGTGGAGTGTGTGGTATGTGATGTTTGTGTGGTGTGTGTGCATGTGTGTGTGTGTGTGGGGAGCGGTAGTGTAGTGGTTTGTGCTACGCTGCGCCGCGAACCTGGTTACCCAAGTTCGATTCCCGCTCACGGCCACCACAAACACCGGGCGACGATTATCTGAGCCGCTCCTGGGCCTCCCCCTAGGTCGCCTCAAGCCTCAAATGAGTGGCTGGTGCAGCGGTGTGTCGTAAACATCGCCACTGGGGAGACAAAGGCGGCTGGCATTGGCCACCCACCCCCTCGTGTGCCACAGTGCCGGCGTTCATGGGCGCTCGCTACTCGCTAAAAGCACTTGCCCCTACAGTCTGTTAGAGGCTACATTGGGGGGGTCTTTGGTGTGCGTGTGTGCGTGCATGTATGTGTAGAGGTTGATTTCACTCGGACAACTTATGTCCTTCTTCCAGCACCACTTTATTGACAGTTCTCCGCATGTCCTCGATGCTCCACAGTCGCCCTGGTGCCACGGCTCGCTCGCCGCGCCTCACTCGACTCGCTCGCCGCCTTTGTCTCTCCGATGTCCGCTTCCCCGTCAGCTCCGATGTCCCTGTGCTTCCCCCCACTGCTAACTGCTTCGTCTTCCGCTCTTCCGCTCTCCGCTATCACCGTGCTCTCTCCACTGCTGGCTGCTTCGTCTTCCGCTCTCCGCTATCACCGTGCTCTCTCCACTGCTAACTGCTTCGTCTCTGCTCTTCGCTATCACTATGCTCTCTCCACTGCTAACTGCTTCGTCTCTGTCTATCGCTCTCCGCTATCACCGTGCTCTCTCCACTGCTAACTGCTTCGTCTCCGCTCTCCGCTATCACTATGCTCTCTCCACTGCTGGTTGCTTCTCTCTGCTCCCCGCTCTCCGCTATCACCGTGCTCTCTCCACTGCTAACTGCTTCGTCTCCGCTCTCCGCTATCACTATGCTCTCTCCACTGCTAACTGCTTCGTCTGTGTCTTCCGCTCTCCGCTATCACCATGCTCTCTCCACTGCTAACTGCTTCGTCTCTGTCTGTCGCTCTCCGCTATCACCGTGCTCTCTCCACTGCTAACTGCTTCGTCTCTGCTCTCCGCTATCACTATGCTCTCTCCACTGCTAGCTGCTTCATCTCTGTCTTCCGCTCTTCGCTATCACCGTGCTCTCTCCACTGCTAGCTGCTTCTCTCTTCAGCTGCTCCACGTCTTGCCTCGTCCAGCCCCCGACTCCAACTCCCCGTTTCTCCTCGCGTCTCCCCAATTTATCCCCGCTCTCATTACACCCAAATTAATTAACCCGCAGTCCCAACGGCGCTCCGCGCGCCCGTGCGCCTGTTACCTCGCCAGACTTCAAGACGCCACCCCGGCCCTGACAACAACACCAGCCAATCACAGCCGTCCCTAGGCTTGCCCCCCCCCCCGCCCCCCAAGCTTAATCGGCCCAATCGTTACCTCATCGTCCCAATATGACCCCCTTACTATCCTGCCCCCACGCAAACTCACCAATCGCCCCCAACGCGCCTATTTACTCCACCGCATATGCGCGCCGTTTCAGTCACCGATGCGTACGCATTGTTCACCGTTGCGCTCACCGTACGTTCGCCGCGCTTGCGCTCGCCGCGCTCCCTCCTCACGCGCGTGTGTTCACCGTGTGTCCGCCGTACCTTCGCCCCGCGCGCGTGCTCACCGTGTGTTCGTTCGCCGTTCGTTCACCGCCCGCTCACCGTGCGCCCACCGCAACGCCGTCGACCGCGCGGTCCGCTCAGCGCCGACTCCCCCCCCCCCGTCTCCCCGACGCGGCAGGGTGAGCCGCCCCCCGCGCACGCTGGACGAGCTGGGCGACGCCCTGCGCCTCCTGGGGGCCCTGCAGGCCGAGGGGCCGCGCGTGGCCGCCCGCCTGGGACCCATCCACGAGCAGTTCGCCATCCTGCACAAGCACGAGGTGCCCGTCGACGCCGAGGTGAGGCGCCAGCAGCCGCACGCTACGCCCCCCAACCACCACCACCACCACCATCAACCGCCAACGACTGCCATCCACTACAACCGCGCCCCCCCACGACCAACCGACACCAACCACCACACACCCCAAATGACCCCCACTCCAACCGCCACCAACTGCCACACACTACGTCCGCCCCCCACCAACCGCCACCAACTGCCACACACCTCAACCGACCCTCGCATCCAACCGCGACCAACCGCCACCCACTACAACATCCCCCCACTTCAACCACCACCAACTGCCACCCGATACAACCGCCCCCCACCAACCGCCACCAACTGCCACACACCCCAACTGACCCTCACTCCCACCACAACCACCAACTGCCACCCACTACAACCGCCCCCCTCCAACCGCCACCAACTGCCACACACCCCAACTGACCCTCACTCCCACCACCACCACCAACTGCCACCCACTACAACCGCCCCCCACCAACCGCCACCAATTGCCACCCACTACAACCGCCCCCCACCAACCGCCACCAACTGCCACACACCCCAGCTGACCCCCACTCCCACCGCCACCAACCCACCTGTGAAGGCCGGCACTGTGTCACATGACAGATGGCGGGGGGGGGGGCGGGGGGGTGGGTGTCCAGCACCACGCCCGGCCGCCTTTGTCTCCCCCCAGCGGCGATGTTTACTACACACACACACCGCACCAAACTCATTTGAGGCTGAGTCGACCCAGGTGAGGGCCAGGTACCGGTTCAGGCAATCGTCACTGGCCCTTGGCCGTGAGCGGGAGTCGAACTCGGCTCGCCCGAGCCTCGTAGCGCAGCGGCGGTGCCAACCTCCACCGCACAACCCACCTTTATTGATTTAGTAATATATATACATTTTAACTGAAAACTTTCGCGACTGCAGGAACTCATATTCTTGCTTCTTTCGGTAAAGTCACGTGGATATAAAACGAAAAAAATCTTTAAAATTAATAATGAAATAAAATTGACACATTTCAAATAATAAAAGCAAAAAAACCCGCAATAATAAAAAATAATAATAGTGACTCCCTCTTTTCTTTCTACCTGAAGAAGACCGCTTGTTTGTTTTATTATTTTAAATTCATTTTACATTTTTATTTACTATTTTTTTTGCTTTTATTATTTTACATTTATTAATTTTAATTTAATTTTATTATTTTTATTTCAGATTTGTTTTTCCCGTTATCCATCTACGTGACTTTACCGAGATCACCGAGAATATAATATACATAATTACATCGCCCCCTGTCCCTATGTGAACACACGGCAATGGATTTGCAGTGTTGGGGAGGTGGGTCGTGGTGGGTTTGGGGGAGAGCCGGCGGGCGTGATTGCAGCCCCTGGGTGTGTGTGGAGATGCTGTGGGAGAGAGGGGCGAGAGGGGAGAGAGGGGCTGGAGGAGAGTGCGTGGAATGATGGGAGAGTGAAACGAGAGATGGGAGAGAAGAGAGAGAGCGGGGGAGAGAGAAAGATATTGGAGATGGGAGTGAGAGCGGGGAGAGCGATAGGGGAGAGAGAGAGAGAGCCATCTCAGTTGTCATTCATTCATTAGGCGTTTAATTTGCAGGGTCTCCAGCCCACAACGGATTCCCTTCCTCCTTTCCAAAATCACGCGCGCCGACGCTGCCGCGACACACACAGACACACAGACACACTCAGACACACACACAGACACACACACAGTCATACACAGACACATACACAGTCATACACAGACACACAGATACACACAGACATACACACAGACACACACAGACATACACAGACACACACACAGACACACACACACAGACACACACACAGACACACACACAGACACACACAGACACACACACAGACACACACAGACATACACAGACACAGACACACACACAGACACACAGACATACACAGAAATACACAGACACACACACAGACACACACACAGACATACACACACACACAGACACACACACAGACACACACAAACATACACAGACACACACACAGACATACACAGACACACACACAGTCATACACAGACACACACACAGACACACACAGACACACACACAGACACACACAGACATACACACACACACAGACACACACACACAGACACACACAGACACACACACAGAGACACACACAGACATACACAGACACACACAGACATACACAGACACACACACAGACACACACAGACACACACACAGACACACACACACAGACATACACAGACACACACACACAGACACACACAGACACACACACAGACATACACAGACACATACAGACACACAGACACACACACAGACATACACAGCCACATACAGACACACAGACACACACAGACATACACAGACACACACACAGACATACACAGACACACACACAGACACACACAGCCACACACAGACACACACACAGTGCGTATTTGGAGTTTGCATGGATGCCTCTCTCTCTCTCTCTGAGTGTAGTCTCAATCTCTCTGTGTGCCGCGAAGAAGGATCTTTGCCTGAAACGTCACCTGTGGCTAGGAGATGTTGACTACCTCGCCTGGTGTACAGGAGGTCGTGGGTTCGATCCCCACCCTGACGACGCCTGCTGCTGCTGCTGTATATTTGGAGTCTGCGTCTCTCTCTCTCTCATCATCATCATCATCACGGTGGCTAGGAGATGTTGACTACCTCGCCTGGTGTACAGGAGGTCGTGGGTTCGATCCCGACCCTGACGTCTGCGTCTTTCTCTCTCTCTCTCTCTCCCGGTGCTCTGTGCTTCTCCCATCCACATTTGGAATTGACGTCAAGCGCCGAGCGGATTTCGATTATTTGGCGGCTGCTCTGAATTCCCACACGATGATGGTGATGGTGACGAAGAGGCCACTTAGTGTGAGCTGTCCTTTGTGGGATCTCGGTCTGTCTTCTGAAAGAAGGTCTACACAGCGGCTGTCAACCCATCACGGTTTTACCCCTTGTGATGGGACTTTGTAGGATGAACGTTGAAGATTCATCAGGGGTCACGGGGTGACCAATCAGGTCTGAATTGGTCTGTAATAAGGTGGCGCACTGATAAGGGGTTGACAGGTAGGTTATAGTGTAGTGTATAATCTAGTGTAGTGTATAATGTAGTGTAGTGTATAATGTAGTGTATAGTGTAGTGTATAGTAGAGTAGTGTATAGTAGTATAGTGTATAATGTAGTGTAGTGTATAATGTAGTATATAGTGTAGTGTATAGTAGTGTAGTGTATAGTAGAGTAGTGTATAGTGTAGTGTATAGCAGTGTTGTGTATAGTAGAGTAGTGTATAGTGTAGTGTATAGGAGAGTAGTGTATGGTAGTGTAGTGTATAATGTAGTGTGGTGTATAGTAGTGTAGTGTATAGTAGAGTAGTGTATGGTAGTGTAGTGTATAATGTAGTGTAGTGTATAATGTAGTGTATTGTGCAGTGTATAGAAGTGTAGTCTATAGTAGTGTATAAAATGTAGTGTATAGTGTAGTGTAAAATAGTGTATAGTAGTGTAGTGTATAGTGTAGTGTATAGTAATGTAGTATATAGTGTAGTGTATAGTGTAGTGTATAGTGTAGTGTAAAGTAGTGTAATGTATAGTGTAGTGTAAAGTAGTGTATAGTGTAGTGTAAAGTAGTGTTTAGTTTAGTGTATAATGTAGTGTATCGTGCAGTGTATAGTAGTGTAGCCTATAGTACTGTATAAAATGTAGTGTATAGTGTATTGTAAAGTAGTGTATAGTAGCACACCGTGTCAACCCATACGTTTACCCCGTATTCTTATACGGGCAAAACATTGGTTTTTTTGTCTTTTTGTTCGTGACTCTCCCTTGTGTGGGACTTTGTGGGATGAACGTCGAAGATTTATACGTGGTTAGCGACACACGGGGTTAGCGATAAGGTCTGAATTGGTCTGTAATAAGGAAGGGCACTGATAAGGGGTTGACAGGTTTGTAGTAGTGTATAGTGGAGCGTGTGTCGTGATTAGTCGACACATAGCACCCGCTGGGCATGTCCCATGGCCTCCTGCACCTAGCCTGGCACAGGCGTCACCGAGTGGCGAATGGCGAGTGTTGGCCATTGGCGTGTGTAGACTGTCGGGGAGTGGTGGTGCAGCGGTTAGCGCTACGCTGCGCTACGAACCCGGCGACCCAGGGTTCGATCCCCGCTCACGGCCAACACCCAGCGACGATTTATGTGAACCGGTACCTGGGCCTCCCCTAGGTCGACTCAGCCTCAAATGAGTACCTTGTGCGGTGTGTGGTAAACGTCGTCACTAGGGAGACAAAGGCGGCCGGGCGTGGGGCTGGCCACCCACCCCCTCGTGTGCCACAGTGCCGGTAGCCTTCATAGGTGCTGCTGCTACTCACAGCTACTAACAGCACTTGCCCCTACAGCCTGTTACAGGCTACACGGGGGATCTTTGTCTTTGTGTGTTCATAGGTGCTGCTGCTACTCACAGCTACTAACAGCACTTGCCCCTACAGCCTGTTACAGGCTACACGGGGGATCTTTGTCTTTGTGTGTTCATAGGTGCTGCTGCTACTCACAGCTACTAACAGCACTTGCCCCTACAGCCTGTTACAGGCTACACGGGGGATCTTTGTCTTTGTGTGTTCATAGGTGCTGCTGCTACTCACAGCTACTAACAGCACTTGCCCCTACAGTCTGTTACAGGCTACACGGGGGGCGGGGGGGGTGGGTCTTCATCTCATTTGTTTGCGTGAACTAAAGTATGCAAACTACGATTCGTATTGACCAGGCAAGGGCCACCCACCACTGAGTTGCTAGATCGCTGGGTTTTCCTTTGAGAAGCCATGCTGGCCGTCACAAATGATCGCTAGACCAAGCGGCGGCGGCGGCGGCTTATCATCATCATCAGGGTCGGGATCGAACCCACGGCCTCCCAGCGTAACCAGGCGAGGTAGTCAACATCTCGCCAACAATGGGAAACGTTTAGAACGGAATCCTGTTGTTGCTATTGT